CTTTTAATTCGAGAGAAATAATTTTCTATCGAAAAAATTAATAATAACATAGACTAAAGGAATTGTTTATTATATACTATACGTGATAATTATAAATTGCAGAAAATATAATTATCCAAAATCAATAAAAAAAATTATAAATATTAAGGCCTTTCGATTAAAAAGTTTTTAATCTTCCAAGCTGTTAATTTTTATCTACTTAGGTATTAATTTAAAATTCTAAAACTTTCTTTATAGCATGAAAATATATTACAACGACACATAAAGAATATAAGATAAATTAGAAGCACCTTTACCATACATGTACAAAAGAATTTTAAAAAGAATTTGAAAAAAAATTCTTATAATTAATTATAATGTAATACACAATTAAATAACAAAAATGAACTAGCGATTAAGTATTGAAAATCGAATTGAAACTGTCCACATACTCAATAATTTCTAAGTAACCTAATTAATTATTTTTAATTACAAATTAAATGAATTAAATTCACCAATTTATTAAAAATTCCATTTCTACGAATAAATTATAATTTTATTTTAATTTAAATTTTAATATTATAAATTTAATGTGAGAACAGATAACAATTTAAGATGGTAATATATTTTCCATATTTCTTCAAACACTCGTTCCACAGACAAAAATGAATTAAATTAAATTCACCTTACTATTTCTGAGAATAAATTATATCTCTAAAAATAACAATTTAAGATAGTAATATATTTTCCATATTTCTTCAAACACTCGTTCCACAGACAAAAATGAATTTATCCGTGATATTTCTGGAAACCAATATTACGTGATACATTCCTGATAACCCATTAACACATTTACCATTGAAACCTGACCATACCTGCCTTGCAAACCACATTTCACGATAAACAACCCTTCCGTTTCCAAACATCGATCTAGTCCACACCTATTCACACTCCTCAAAATTATCCGTAGTCAGAAAACGAAGATCCATTTCAACGACCACTCGATGGAAACTCCATTACGTGGCAGGACCACGATCCTCGACCCGGAATGAAGATCGCACCGATCGTCCTAAACGCGATCGAACGTGATTTCTATGGAAAGGTGCCCCGAAGGAACCGCGACGGTCCCATCTGGCCGAGTGCTCGAAAATTATCGAAATCGACGGAACTTCAAAGCGACTGAAAATGCCAGCTCGAGGCGTGGGTGACGAAAGCGAGCTCCCTTTATCAGAGTTATGACCCCGTAATACGCGACCACATGAAACGACCCAGCATTTCTTTAACAAAGAGGGTTGAACTCGAGGTGAAGGGTCTTTGTTCTTCCTTTTTCGTAATTAACTATTTTCTGGTTTAACTGGAGATTAGTGGTGGACAATAATAGGTGATATTAGGTTAGGTTAGGTGGTACATGAATTTGATAGATGATAAAATTTAAGTGCGATTCGTGGAATTTTTAAAATTCCAAAAAAAGATTGCTTAAGAAATAAACAAGAATTTTTAATAATTTCTAGCGATTTTCAAATCAAGTGTACACTCGAAGAATTATTTCATTATTTTTAATTATTTTATATATATTCATAATCAATATTTCTAATTAAAATCGTAGAAATTTTCCTTATATAACGTTAATCACAAAATCATAGTTTAAATTTGGACTAGCTTGTGCTACCTAATTAACAAGTCACGAGTAACCCAGGATTACTAATTTTACAATGTATCGCCAAATTATACTTAACAATCATGAAATTAGTATTCTTTATTTACTCGCGTTTTATCAATTAATTATGTAAAACCAATTCTATTTTAATTCAGTTTAAATAATAAATAATAAATAATAAACAGAAACAATTCGGTCACAAATTCAAAAAGAAAAAGAAACGAATTTTTGGACTGCGAATATCATAGAATAACTGCGAGTATACCATAGGGGAACAACGAAAGTTGGGAGTTAAAGTTAAACGAAAATCCCGAAAGTGTAACCGAAAAAACCGGTGGCTATGCTGCGTGTATATAGAGAGGAAGCCGAGCTGAATGTAACACGCTTTGTTTCACGTCGATATCTCGATCCGCCACGGAGATACGAGGGTCGAAACGCGAGGGTTTAAAATGCACGGGCGCTGCGAACGATGAATGGCGGACGAAATTCTTCGAAACGCCGTGACCCAGTTCCCTCTTTCGGCGGCGGTGGTGGGGGTAATAAGCCGCTGACTCACGTCTGTCGCTGACCAGCGCACAGGTGCCGCGCGTGGGATAGGTCAGCGTCGGTGTTCGCGAGAGCGAGACAGCGATAGAGAACCGCTCGAAATTATGCCCGGCTTCCAACGACGATATCTCCGGAACGGAGAGTCGGATCAACGTGAAACAAAAACTGAAATAAAGAGAAAGATTTGCTGCCCACGACGGCGTGAACTATGACGATCCCGTATCACTGGATTCCGAGCTGCAAGCGATCGAATTTCGAGCTGTTTCAATAGAGAACGGCTCTGACGTGCGATTAAATTAGAAGAAATTTTCCCGGAAATGTACCATTCGGTCTTGTTTGAATTTCCATACAGCCAGTGCTCTGAAGGAATGCGGTTTGTATCAGCCAGAATTAAAATATTCGTTTCACCCCGGGATTTGGAAAAGTCTTTTGAGGAAAGAAGAAAATTATCTCTATCTCGAGGAGATAATTTCGGTAGTACTTATCCGTGCTGCCGTGAAACACGCCATGGAACATGAATGAGTATTTAGCGATTCGAAATGCAGCAAAAAGGAATTTTAAACGTAACGTTATACCTTCACAAATTAGTAAAAAAATATATACTAAAATTAGTAAAAAATATAAATAATTATATCCTATTAGAGAAAAGAGCAAAATATGCTAGCATTGCAAAGCCAGAAATAATGAAGCATATTTAAAGCACATACGTGAAGCACATTATTTGCAAAGATACACGTTACATAGTAATCATTTCATACGCAAACGTAACTTTAATCATCCATCTCGGGATCTTAATTTAACCGGTCTTCTTCTCGGTTGCAATTAAATCTGTTAATCAGGGAATCGCTGAACAAACTAATCTAAAATTTTCAATTGAAACGCTGCAAAGTCAATTGCAGAGAACGGAATTAACAATTGTCGACTGCTTACCCTTCTCTCCTTTCGTTCCAACTTTATAGAAGTACAAATCTCAGTCGCAATCTCTTTCTTGCGTTTGTTTTAATTTTTCCTGTCATCCGTCCTAGCGGATGGTCGTTTATCGAATTTCTCCGTATAACTGTACACGTGAGGAACGTTTCAGGCCAGGTGAAACTCGCTTTATCGTCGAATGGAGGATATGAAAGGAATGGAAGAGGTTCGTATAAAAATATGCTCTGTTTAATCTCACTCTTCGGTTACACCATTTTTATGTTACTAACACGATGACTGCAGGCTTGCAATCAGGTCGAAGGTATCCATTTCGAGCACTTCTCGTAAAGGTAAGCAACTGCACGTTACAGTAGAAAAGTGGATATAACACGGAGAGAACGTTCGATGGGAATATTAAAATATAAAAAAAATATGTAACCTTGTTCGACTTATTTTTCTCTTCGAAATGCAGGCAAATATTTGACAAATTTAATTATTAATGCTTTTCACTCGACGATCTTTACGCCACAGAAGGGTAGAAATTTTTGAAGACTTTCTGCTACAAAGCTGACGATATTTTTTAGAACAGAAAATAAAAATTCGTGTAATAATTAACACCTGGAATTATTTAATTTCAATACCTCGCACGCTATTACGTTATTTTGAATTTAATACATCAATTAATATCGATCTTCGAAATTTTATTGGGTAGTGACTGTAGATTGCCTCTCGAGTGCAAATTACTAATAGAAATCGATTCTAGAAAAATTTTATAACGTAAGAGAATTTTAAATTAATTTCATAGTTATACCTCTTACAGTAATGTGAACAATTTTTGCAAATGTCTCGGAATTTAAGGCCAAGCGGCAATTATTGTTCAGAATCTCGTCCTCTATAACATGTTCAAAAATCATAGAGATCGACCCACGCATTCTGTAGTTTTTAACAATTTTATGTGTTTTGCCAAGAAACTAGTAAAAGCACATTACTTTTTCAAGCTCCCAAATCTATAATCCTTATTGAGGCACAAATAAAGCTTTTTGTGAAAAAACCGGGAAAAAGGACACGTTTAGGACAAAGCCGCTAAATTGCATATTTACTTTTTAATAAATTCATAAATTTAAATAAATTTTAATTTTATTCAAATAAAATTCTTTAATAAATTTAAATAAATGTCAATTTTATTTAAATAAAATTCTTTAATAAATTTAAATAAATTTAATTTTAATTAAATACTCTAAATACACCCAAAATCCGATCCTACTGTGTTTGGTAAATAATTTCGTGTAGTTCTTTCTTTACTATTTTATGTACCTTTATGAAATACATTCTATTCAATGTTTAACATATTATCTTGTAGCTCTTGTTTTGCTCTATAAGAAGGTATTAACCTCTATTATTTTTCTTGTTTATAGAAAAAAATATACAATGCTTCAAATTGATAATAAATACATTTGTATCATCGCAAATGAGTTTCACTTGTTCAACCCTGTGGTAGTGGTTACATAAATTTTTAAGTATATATGTGTTGGGATGAGTGGAACAAGTATGCATGGGATTCCAATACGTAATGAATTCAGGTTATTATGATAAATGAGTATGCGTGTAATGATTGAGGTGTGTGCGAATTGTGTATGCAATGTAATGTATGAAGAAGAAAGAAAAGAGAGAGTAATTTCGGATACGTTAGTTGCAATTGAGTTATAATAGTGAGAAGTCCTGTGATAGAATAATTGTGAGAAATTAATTATATTTAAACGTTATATTTGTGTCTTATAATCTTTCTAATTAAATTAAGAATTGTTCCTGTTGTTATTGAATTTCATCCACCACTAACAAACCCCTCATTCGCATTCACACATATGAAATCAAAGCTCACAGTAATAAAACATAAAAGAAATACACTCACCATAGCGAGCATATTGGCCGCCGGAGGCTTGACCTGAGTGCGAAAATAGTTATGCGTGTCGACGATCTTCTTCTGGACCTTAATGTTGCTCGTTCTTATCAGGCTGATGGGCACGCTGTCGCCATGCAGCCTTGGCACTGAAAGCAAAGGCAAACGTTCCTCTCAACAACGTCTCGATAACCGATACTCCTTGTCAATAAAAATCCTCCTTCTCTCTTTTTCTCCCCGTCTCCCTCTCGCCCTCTTTTCACGCGTTGCTCCATTTCCCTCCCTTTCTCCTATGGAACAAGTGTCCGCTTTAAAGGGGAATATCGACAGCGCCGCCAACTCCAAACGGGGCAATAACGTTCTATTTTCATACCCTTTACCCTGTTTGCCGCTCCGCGATTCCACGTTTCGCGGATCGCTTTGTCCAAGGGGAACGGACGGAACGGGATCTGTACCATTTTTCTAAATGGTACCAACGGGAATGGTTCCTCGGGGACGTTTCTGTTGGTTATGGCTTGGGGGATTTCGAAAAGAACACGATCGTGACTTCTGGTGATACGTCGAATTTTTTGGAGGTAGAAGGGCTAGATTTCACTGTCGGATTAGAGGTGAAAGGATATCTGGAATTTTTCAAGACTTGGGAGTTAGGTCAATTTTACTGTGAAATAGCTAATAACCTGGGATGATAATATTTCGAATTTTCTATTGCTAAGAAGTGTCGATTTTATTATAAAATAATTGTAAATTTGGTGTGTTAATATCTCGAATTCTCCAAGTCTTGGAAGCATGAATTCTAGCATTGAGAAATAAAAAATGAGTTGCACTAATATTTCGAATTTTCGAAAGGGTGGAAAATATTAACTTTATTATTGAGCAATGAGAAATGCATTACAGAGATATTTTCAATTTTTGAAACAATAAGGGAGGTGAATTCGAAGCTTGATTTTTAACTGTCTACAAAAATCAGTGGATTAAAATAATTTAGATTTAAGGTACGTATAATTTGCAGAATATTCTTCATTTTCTTAATGCATAATTCAAAATACGAAGAATTGTATCTTTTGATTAATTATAAGTAGTACTAATTAAGTATACTTTATTTAATGAAACTTTTAGGAGTTTAATACATGAAAAATCGAATAATTTAATATATAGGAAGATTAAATTTAAAACTTTAAGCATAGCCTTCATAGAAGTTCAGTACTTAGTATCAAAATTATTGTAAATTATTATTATATTATTATAATGAATTATTAAATTTATTATTATATTATTATTATAATGAATTATTAAATTTATTATTATATTATTGTTATTATTATTATTTATTAAATTTGTTCATTATTATTTTATTATTATAATAAAAATTTTTTTTGTTGTTGTTGTTAATTATATTATAAATTACTGTTATTGTTATAATTATTGCTAATTGTTGTATTACAACTTCTCGCAAAGGAATATAAAATTAAGGAATGAAGTTCATAATGTAAATTTGCCTCGACATTTTAAACCAAACAATTTCCCACGACGAATTCTTCTTAAATAATTAATATTATTTCCTGGATCGACTTAAATACTTAAGAAAGCGCCTGGAGTTACTTCTTTAAAGATTTTCTCAAATGACCCGGGTAACCTATCGCACCTCAAAGCTGTTATATCCTTAATCCAATTGAAATCTTTACATTCGAGACTCGTGCTTTAAAAGTGGCCTTCGAATCAGTTCTTTTTATTCTTCCATAAAACGTGCATCAAAGAAACATAAGAAAAACGTAACCAACGTAAGTCCAAGCAGTAACTGAGCTCTTTCCACGTATCAAACGGTTTATGACCCCGTGCTTTCAACTTTTTATCGCGGCCAAGAATGGACAAAAGGAAAGCTTTCACTTCACTGCAGAAAAATTAAAGAACTGGCAAAAAATTATACGTCCGACCAGCGGAATTTCCCAATTCCACGATTTTAATCCCAAATTTAGCAGTGCCTTTTCAACAGAAAATAACAGATTTCTTTTCTCACTCAACAATTTTATAATACTTCCTTGCCATAAGTAATAAAATCTGAGTAATAAAATTATTTACTAAAAATTGCTTACTAATAAAATTACTTAGCTATCTAAATAGTAAAATAGTACGATTTTTAATTTTTATATTCCCTTATCTTTCAATTCACTATAGAAAAATTGAAGAACTCAAAAAAATTATACGTCCCACAAAAATTATACTCAAATAACAGATTTCTTTTCTCACTCAACAATTTTATAATACTTCCTTGCCATAAGGATTTCAACGCATTAAAGCATTTCCAATGCTATAACATTTACCTAAGTAATAAATTGTTACAATTTTTAATTTTTATACTCCCTCATCTAATTAATAATCTAACGACTGCAATCGACGAGCACAGGAGAGAATACAGTAAACTATTAGTATCGTCAATATAAAATATTTTTCACTGAATCACACATTGCATAATAAATAAAAATTAATAAATAAAATCTCGCAAATAACGGACGAAATATATCCCTTCTCGGAGTGTGATTTTTGCAGTTTGTCAGACAAGAAGCATGAAGTGACGACGGGTCGAAGAATAACGAGTTGCAACGCCTATTTAATGCCAAACCGAGCACTCGACGCGAACGCGTGTTAAGCCGAGATACGCCGCGGTTCCCGTGTAATTTTCTCCAATTACTCTGCGATAATAGAACCGGCGCCAAAACGCGTCTATTGTAAAAACCGGCCCTATATCACCGGATCTGAACGGCCGGCCGTATTTCACTTCCGTTGCCTGCAACGAGTTCGTAAAGCCGCGCGCGCAACGAGCTCGCCTTAATAGCCGATATAAGGCAGTGCTCGTAAAAAATATATCTCGATGGTTCCTTCGCTTGCACGGTTTTCGAACCGATTAGTCGCACGGCTCGAAATAACGCTACGAAAAATCGCGATGGGATGTTTCTTTTTATTCTCATCGGATTTAAAATTCTGAAGATATTTGAAACTCATATCCGAAATTTGGATTTATTTCGGATTTATCGCAGTGCTTGTTATTTTATGGTTTACGGCTTGCGTGTGCTGCTGGAACGATGGAATTTATGTAACACTCGGTTACGACCTCAGCTCGATACATGTATCGAGGTATGAAGTCGATACATGTATGGAGGAATCAAGTCGATACAAGTATCGAGTGGCCATCTTGCTCTGTTTGTTTATACTTTGGATCTATACTCGAAGTATAAACATTTTGGAACGGTTAATGTAGTGTTCGTACTATTGTGATATTTCGGATTTTCAGTCGATACATGTGTCGATTTAACACTAAATCGATTATGCTAATAGCTGTTGATTAATGAACAAAGTTTAAAGTGTTCAAAGGATTGGAAGAGTGAGAGAAGAATGTTTATGTTCAACATGGTGAACTGAAATTTTAGACAACTGTATGTGATCATTTTTTAAATATTAGGGGATAGAATAGAAAGTAGAGAATAAAGGAAAATGGAATATTAGAATTATAAATTGTAAAATTCATTTTATGTGGAATAAATTAATTAAAAAATTGGTAAATATTAAATGAAAGAAGTAAATTTTTGAAGAATTTGATTTATTATTCTACTATAATAATTGATTCTCGGGTGAATTTAAAATTCTCAAGAATTTTCATATTAATCCTACATTCGTGTCGTAAAATTGAAATTAAATTTTAAGGGGAGTATAAATTAAAAATAAGTTTGTAAAAATTGCACATACTGCAAATTGTACATGCTTCTTCATTACATTCCATGTAATTACGTCAGCTCACGTATCAGTAATTCAGGGCGGGTTCCATTCGATCACGGAGACAATTCTAATTCTTGGACTTTGAAACCCCCTCGTATTTTGCATACTATTTCGTGATAACACCTTTCGCGATCTCCATTACGAAGTTTCAACCATTTTCACGGAATTTCCATTCCCTACAAATTCAACGTCTAATTAAGGGCCCCTTTGAATGGAACATTTTCCTAACACCGGCTATCCTTTTGTCTAAGAACCTCCAGAGTAACTTTATCGACGAGTCCATTAACAGAGCAAACAAGGAACCCATTTTTCCTACCCTCTGCATGTCCCGAATTACAATTTTAATTAAAAAATTTTCCACGCGTCACATTGCTTAATCACGTCCCATCGGAACATTTCATTCTCGAGGAGGTGTGAAAACGGGAAAAATAGCGGGAAATTAGTTCTCGATGCAGACATTCTAACGAAATGTTAAATTAAAGGCCCTGAGTTAAATCATGAAACTGAAAACTTTATAAAAATCATTCTATATTATATTTTCAATAGCCTTTCCTAATTACAATTAAACGATATAACATATCAGATACAATTAATTTAAACAAAATAAATATTATCTCAATTCAAAATATAATTCCGAAGAATTCTTTCTTGTAATATTTAATTATAATTCACATGGAATAAAATTATTCCAAAAAATTTGTACTAGTTTAAAAAGATTTATAAATTTCTTTTAATAATATTTAAGTGCCCCAATATTAGATAAAAATATTTCAAACAAAATTTACCTCGATTCAAAATATTACTCCAAAGAATCCTTTCATTTAATATTTAATTATATTATGCTTCACGTCGAATAAAATTATGCCACAAAATTTGCACTAATTTAAAAAATTGTATTTCCGAAATATAATTTCGAACAAATTTCTTTTAATAATATTTAAATGCCCCAATATTAGATAAAATTATTTCAAGCAAAATTTACCTCTATTCAAAATATTATTCCAAAGAATCCTTTCAATTAATATTTAATTATATTATGCTTCACATCAAATAAAATTGTGCCAAAAAATTCGCACTAGCTTAAAAAGTTGCATTTCTAAATTATAATTTTGAATAAATTTATTTCAATGTTATTTAAATGCCCCAGTATTAGATAAAATTATATTTTCAAACAAAATTTACCTCAATTGAAAATATTATTCCAAAGAAACCTTTCTTGTAATATTTAATTACACTTCGCGTGGAATAAAATTATTAAATAAGAATTTGCACTGGCTTAAAACGTTGCATTTCCAAATTATAATTTGTGTAAATTTCTTTTAAAAATATTTAAATGCCCCATTATTTGATAAAATTATTTCAAACAAAATTTACCACGATT